GGGACGTGGGCATCCAGCTCGTGCTTCCACTGGCCCAGCATGGTGAGGAGCGTGGGTCCTGCCTGGGCAGTGGGTACAAGAGTGTGTAGGCTACCAGAGGTGGGCGAGAGTGAGTGTCTCCGGGATTTAGGGACCATGCCCTGGGGCTAGAACAGATGTGAGATGAGGGCTCTGCCTGAGGGTCCCCCTGTCCCACCTGCTTCTGCCAACTCCCAAGCCCCCAAGCTGTCCTCTGGGAGGAGCCCTGCCTGCGACTCTGTAGGACTCTGCAGGTCAGGGAATGCTGTCTTACTTGTCCTGCCTCATGACTGTAACACCTTCCCCTAAGACTGACAAGACCCACAGAAATCCCAAAGGACGACCGTGGATCAGGGATGGCCATGATAGGTCGCGTTGCCAAGCCCTTCCATGCTTCTGACCCAGAGCCGGGCTTCTCACCCTCTCTGTCCCCAAGGGTGAGCAGAGGTCCCCAGCACCCATGGCTACAGCATGGTCTTAGGGGACCAATGATCATCCGGGAGGTTTGTTTGAGGACTGTAGCAGACTGGTCCCCAGCATTTCAGACTAAAGGAGAAAGTGAGGTTTGCATTGAACTCCAAACATCTGTCAGGCTCTTAGCCGGTCCTGTTTACCCTTCAACCCTGCTGGCTTGAGTAGTGTGGTCAAGTGAGGGGTGTGGGGTCTGAGAGAGCCCCTCCTCCTGGGGGATGAGGCTTCAGGCTGAAGGGTTGGAGTCACACAGGAGCCAGCGGCCACATGCAGGGCCTGGAATCAAAGGGCTCTGGCCATCAGGAAGGGCTTCCCAGGAGGAGCAGAGGAGCTCTGTGGCTGAGTCCTTGGTGTGGGAGGAACACAGAGTCCAAAGCAATTCAAGGCCTGGAAACCACATGTGCAAAGGCTGATTACTGGGGCGGGGCTGGAGAGAGTGTGACATGCTGGAAAACCCGGCCACATTCATTGTATCCAAGAAGCCTCAGGGTGAAAAGTCTGGACAAAGGCAGGGAGAGCATGAAATACAGGCGGCTGCATCTCAAGCCCTGATACAGGGAAGGGGGCAGGAATGAGGTAAACTGACCCTGGTGGGACAGGCAGGGACAGGAGTTACAATGATCTGTGGTGAGACAAGAAGAGGGACAAGGGGTTCTGTCTGGGTACAGGAGTCCAGGTGTCACCAGGGGAGAGGACACACTGAGCAATGACAACAGTAGGCACCAAGGGCTGTGTAGAGGGTGGGTGGCAGGAGAGGGAGCAGGGGAGGCTCCCAGCGCCCTCTGCTGGAAGGAAGGCCCCAGTGCCCAGCCCAGCAGGAGGAGCCCCATTTCCTTGAGATTCAGGCCCTGGAAGGCAGGATTGCTGTCAAGTCTGGTCCCCAGGTTCAGTTCCAGGCCTGAAGCTCAGAGGAAGGGTCCCGAGGCTCTTTGTCCTGATCATCAGCTGATGGGGGCAGCACTGAACCTGGGCCCAAGGGGCACCCAAAGGCCAGGCTGCCCTCAGGTCTCCCAGCATGCAACTCTCACAGACCCTCTGCTTCCTCCCCTGCAGTGCAGCCCCCGCCCCCCAAGGACCTCCACATCAGCCCCTCGGGGGACCACTTCCTGCTGAAGTGGAGTGTGACCCTTGGACATGCCCCGGTCCGCTGGCTGGCACAAGAGGACATCCAGTTTGAGGTGACTTATAAGAGGCTTCAGGACTCCTGGGAGGTAGGACCCTCAGCCATCTGTGCCCAGCCTGGTGGGGTGGCCTAGCAGGCTGCTCCTTCAGCTCCCGTGTCTCCACAGGATGCCCCCAGCCTGCACACCAGGGACATGTGGGTCTCTCTGGAGCCGAAGCTGCTCCTACCCAGCAACATCTATGTGGCCCGGGTGCGCACTCGGCTGTCCCCAGGCTCAAGCTTGTCTGGAAGACCCAGCACATGGAGCCCTGAGGTGCAATGGGACTCCCAGCCAGGTAATGGGGCCTGTAGGAAGTGCTCCTCTTCAGAGCCCACACAGTGGAGACTTAGTCTGGACAAGAGGCTCCAGGAATGCCCTACCTGGTCATCAGCACCTCCCACCAGCCCTGTGTCCCCAGTGTCCCTATCTAGGCCACTCTGTCTCACAGACTGTGAGATCTATGGCCACACATGTGTTCTGTTCATGCCAGTGACAGTCAGGACAGCAGCAGCAGCAGCAGCATAGGTCCTGTGTGTTATCAAGGGCTGGGCTGGGTGTAGGGTCACCTACGTCCCTGTGTTCACCCCAACACTCAATATTTAGAACTGGCCCCCTCTCCCAAGATGGGGCACAGATACCATTGTCTTCTCAAGCTGGGGCCACACACTGGGCGGGCTCAAAGCAGAGCAGGGCTGATGTCCACAGCCAGGATCTGCTGCTCCAAAGGCCATCCTCCCTGTGAGTCCCCTAGTGTCCCAACCTAGGGAGTGAGTGAGGGTCAGTGACTGAGGGCGATGGATCCCCACAGGGGACAAGGCCCAGCCTCAGAACGTGCTGTGCTTCTTCGATGGCATCCAGTCCCTCAGCTGCTCCTGGGAGGTGTGGACCCAGATGACTGGCTCTGTGTCCTTTGGGCTCTTCTACAGCTCCAGCCCGGCGGCCCCGTGAGTGTCCCCTCTCCACTCTGCCCTGCTTCTCCTCACCCTCAGGGCTGGACCCCGCTGAGGTCTTAGCCCGATCTGACCCTCCCCTGCCCCTGCTCTCAGCTCCACTGTACTTCCCCAGGGAGGAGGAGTGCTGGCCGCTGGTGAAGGAGTTTCAGGACAGCCTCCACACCCGGTACCACTGCCGCCTAACCGTGCCCAGCCCCAGTCCACACAGCCAGTACACGGTCTCTGTTAAGCCGCGGAAACAAGGGAAGTACATCAAGAGCTTTAGTCACAGTGAGTTTGCCCTGCTCTGCATCGGTCCCGGGACTACAGGAGTCCATTGTGTCACCCCAGTAAACACGGGGATCTCTTGGGCATCTTTGTGTCTTGTCACTTTCAAAGTTTTGCAGACCTGTGACTCCCAGTGATAAGATGACTATTCTGGGATTAGGAAAGTGTCTCAGTAGGTAAGAGTCATTGATGGACAAG